CTTGAGAGCGGTTAGCAGGTATACCGGCTGTGAGGTGAGCACTGATTTGACCAAGGTCGTTCTCCCTGCCAGACCCATGTTTTTCCCCCTCCAGCCCGCCATGCGCCCTGCTGACTTACCGAAGAGAGGCTACAGGTAGGGATGAAAACAGTCGGAAATGGTCGGAAACGGTATCATTATTTTATTATTTTTTCAAAAACGAACGGAAACGGTTAGAAAATTTTCATATTGATGAATTCATCTATTTAGTGTTAACTTCAATGCCACGCTGACAGAAATTAAAAAAACTAATTTTTGAAAAAGGTAACCATCAGTAAAAATATTATTATTATATTAGTTTTACGGAAACAGTATCGGTACAGTCATGAAATTTTCATACCGTTTTCACCCCTAGCTGTAGGTGGGTGTTGTGCAGTCGTCCTACCATCAACGGAAGACCTAGGTATTTTAGTGGGAATGTTGCTCTTGTGACTTGTGAGTCCCCAGGAAAACATCGAGGTCATCGCATCTGATCGGTGCCACCAAGCTGCAAACCAGATTGGCTGAATACCTTGTATGTTGGTGTAACTGTCCCAGATTGTTTCTAGGAACACTTGTGTTGATTCAGAGGAGTTAGCTAGGTCTTGGAGGCCTAATTTTTCCCATAACCTTGTGGCTGCCTTGCATCGTAGTATAATATGGTCAGCGTTTTCGATTGATGGGCAAATGTAGCAGTGAGTGTCATCGTCCCAATTTTTCCTGACCATGTTGCCTTTGGTCTCTGAAGCTAACCATAGGAAGATTCTGCATTTGTTGGGGATAGCCTTGATCCAGATATAGTCGGCTGGCTTCCAAAGTGATCCGTGTTGTGTTAGGAGCTGGTAAGCAGACCAGAGAGAACTCATATACCTGAAAAATAATGAGTGCTTCTTGAAAGGCAACGTATTTTCCTGATCCGTCGCATTTGTATTATCCTGATCCTTTGCTTTCTTCCTCTTGCCTGCCTTCTTCTTTACCTTCCTGGACACGACCTTAATCTTCTTGGTCGTGTCGAAGACTTGTACACCAGTTCATGCTTCAGGAGGACTCGTCGAATAAGTTGGCCATTGCACGCCACTTGTGCCTTTGTGGTAAGAACCGACGGTGACGCATGTACAACGTCTTCCTTGAGGAGGTGAGGTACATGTACGACGTGTTGTTGATACATATAAGACAACTGAACTTCCTCTTAAACTAACCTGAGAGCGAAAAGTTCACCGGCAGGTCATTGATGGTAACGAATATGATGGCACGCAGAGTAAAATGTTCCCTACAGTACTTGTTCCACACTCGTAACCCTTCTTTCCACATTTCTTGCATGTCCTCCATCAATGGTTCAAGAAACACATCTATGTCAATCCCTGACTGTTTTGGCCCTTGTATAAGGATAGACAACAAAATGTACTTTCGCTTTTGGCAAATCCATGTAGGCAAGTTATACATGGTGAGTAGCACTAGCCAAGTGCTGTGTTTGCTGCTTAGATCACCGAACGGATTCATTCTGTCCGTGCTCAAGGCAAACCTTATATTTCTCAGATCCTTTGCAAATTCCGAGTGTAGTGCATCAATGTTTTTCCACTGTCGAGCATCGGCGGGGTGTTGAATCATACCATCAGTTTTCCGACCCTCCTGATGCCATCTCATCAACTCGGCATCGTTACGGTTTGAAAACAGCTGCTTCAGGCGATCTTTCACTGGCAGGTATACCACATCACCATAGCCGGAATTTTTTTCTTTGCATCCACCGATAAATCTTGGTCGACCACCTCTCCGTCCGAGGCTCCGTTGCCCGTCTTGTACCGACTTGTCCCACATGTTGGGCAAGAGTCTAAATCCGTGAATTCCTTGTGGTACAGTATGCAATGATTTTCACATGCATGAATCTTTTGAACACCTAGAGAGAATGGACATATCAATTTCTTCGCTTGATATGTGTTCCTCGGCAGCAGGTGATGCGGACATCACTACCTCGGATACACACAACAATCCTCCAACGGTCATTCAAGGACCAATAACAAGAGCTCGTGCACGACAATTGAATTTAGAGGTGAGCTCGATCCTATGTTCTTCTTTGTATGAATTCGAGAATAGATTGCTACCTAATGATTATATTGTGATTAGGAACAATGAAGGGGGCAAGGAGACACTTGGAGAAGGACTTAGAGCCATGGAGGATCATCGAGGATGTCCAAGTCAAGGTGGAGGCCCAAACCAAGTCGACCTTCGGGTGCAATTCGGAGTCCAGGACCAGTCTGCACTAAAACGGGCGCCCAGGTCGCATACGTGCTAGGATTGGGGCGTTCTTTATATGGATGGAAACCTAAGAAGATAACTTTTCCAATGGTTTTGGTCCCACGTCCAAATTCTTTCCGAGTCAATGGGAATCGACCAAACAAGTTGACATTCAGAATCTGTCCCGTTGTTGCGTCACCGTATTTGGGCCTTTGGGCCGTGTATCGTGTGGAACCCATTAGGGTTGCGTCGAGAGGGGGTTGCACGACCCTAAACTCTATATATTAGTACCGCCGCCATCTTTAGGTTTTTGGGTTTTGCTTAGATTATTCCGTCGAGAATAGTTTCGCCGCTAGATCGATTTGTAAGACCCCAACTCGTGAGCTTAATCATTCATCTGCAATTTTGGTTATTTTCTATCTCGTTCTTGTTTGTGTTCTTCGATTGGCAAATAGGGATTAGCCTTCTCGGCGAGGTCATCCGCGTTTCTACACGGGTGATAACCAGAGGAGACATGGTGCTGCGATTGCGGGGCTCAAGAGCGTGCGTGTTCAAGAAGCCGGATCGATTTGTGTCGTGACTCCGCCCAAATCATTGTTTATCAGAACCTTTCAGAAGATCGGGAACCCTAGTGCACATCAGCAGGTTCGGTTTAGGAAGCATAACTCTCAGAAGATCCATCAAATCATTGAAGCTAGTGTCCGACCATCCATGTCTGGCCTTCAATTTGAGAAGTTCAAGCACAAAGCACAACACCGTATAATCCTTGTCACATCCTTTCGATTCGTCGTAAAGAAGTTCCTTCGCTGCTTTTTCCAACTCTTCCCAATTGTTGAACCCTCGTCTTGTACTAGTTAGAACCTCTGGTTCAACGTGCTGCAACATATCCTCTAGATCAAAATCAATACCTGCATCATCTATACCAAAGCCACCACATTCCGGGATCGTTCCCTGTGACATGTCTTCGATTATAAAATTTTCTGCCGCATCAAAGCAAAAATCATCAGCCTCTTCGTTACGATCGGTGACTTCTCCATGCAAAGTCCATATCTTGTAATCATCCATAAACCCACGCTCTACAATGTGCCCCAAAATATCATTCGGGTTTTGCATCATCTTTTTCGTTCTTGCAATCAAAGAATGGACAAAAAATGTCCCTTCTATTCTCCCTCAAAGCATGTGCCTTTGCCTGATCAACAAATTTATTTGGATGCTTCCTTCAAGAACGCCGGATGAGTTCTTTTTTGTCGTACATCTATGCCCGATCCATCTACCAAAAAACATCTTTCATGAGTCGAATTATACTATATTTAACATATGAAAAAAGGATACAACTTAAACAGACATTATATTAATATTCATGGTCTAGTGGTTCCAATAACATTAAATTAATAAATTAAAAATTACTTAGAATTACTAGATTTGCAAACCTAATATATTTTTCGAAGTCCACTGAAAAAATTTGAAATAAATGGAGGGAACTAAACAAAAATTAAATTTAAGTTCTACGGAAAATTTAAACATGCATACGATATTTTTAATCATTAATAAAAAGAATGTCCATTTCCAGAAATGAAAATTTTCTTAGCTTTTATCCGATGACAAATTAAACTAATGGAGACAAACCTAAAAAAGAATCGGACTACTAAATACTTTAAAAATCATGTGATACAAACAATATATATATTTACCTATTATAAAAGTTTAAGATGTTTTTGCTGGTAAATTTCGTATGTCACCTTGTCCGACTGCGTCCCGTACGATTTTTTTTTGTCCATGGTCACGTTGTCCGTTTCGCTGCCCTCCGCATCCGATTGCAATTCCCGCATTCCACGCTGCGCACCGCGTCCGGGCCATGCGCTAGCCTTGACGCATGCACGTGCGCACAACCCTGACGCATGCACGTATGCCCTCCAGTTCCCGTGAAAGCAAGACTGTTTCTGAGTTTTATGTTCACACACAACTTTAATTTTTATAGCACCTACCTAAGATTCTTCTGTTCCTATATAATTTCAATTTTTAAGACATGTACCCTAAAGTTATTTTCTTATGTTTGTTCATGATTTTTAGAGAACATAAACACTATAAAAAAATTTGAATAAGATGAAAATCTCTATCCTTATATTTATCTTTACCTTTATACATATATATCTATACTATACCTATCTATGGTATTATAAAAATTAAAGATGTTTTTATCGGTATTTTGGTACGTCATCCGTGTATGAGTTAGTTTTTAAGTTCGTTTGCTTTTAGAAATACATATTTTTATTTGAGTCGGGTTAACGTTTTAAGTTCGTTTGCTTTTAGAAATATGGAAGGAATCGTAAGCCTCCATCGTTTGGCTTTTTCCCTAATAAGCCAAAACGGCTTATCAGGGAATAAAAATGAATTTATAGGTAAAACTTTTATATATGTGTTTTTAGTTACTTAAAAGCCAATGCTGAAAAAGAAACTACGTTGAAAATATCTCAAAATCAATCTCAAAATTAAGTTTGAAAATTTAAATTTTGGCTTATTCTTTGGTTGTTTAGGCTATCCGATGGGAGCCGTATAAGAAATCTATGTAAAAAAACTCGCATGCTAACTTGATATGATTTTCTAGAGAAATATATATCTAAGCGAATTCTCACAGTGAATTCACTACTAGAATAGTGAATGTCAACGACCAAAAACTAACGACGGCTGCATAATCTTGGTCGTTGATACTGCTTTGGGCCGATTTCTGGTATCCGACGACGCTAGTTTTTTGTGGTCGCTAATGTGTAGTGGGCTGCGGTCGTTGTTGTTATTTACTCAGGTTGGATGGGCAATTGCAAATGGTCGTTATTACTCAGCGACCTGTGTCCTCAGCTCTCCGGCCACTGCAGCCGCCGCCGCACTCGGCTTCGGCCACCGCCGCCGCCGCTGCCCTCGGCTTCGGCCACCGCCTTCGATTCGCTCCACAGCTGCAAGCCTGCAGCTGCTGCCCATGCTCCCTATAACTTTGCTCTTTGCTGCTCTTTGCCATACAAAGGAGGTAGCGGCACAGCGGGAGGAAGAATCCCCATCATTGGCATAGGAACAGTCTATCAGATCCCCTCCAATCCGCTGCTCCCTTCCAAATCCGAAATCCCCTCTTTTCCCCAAACATATTTCGCCCCAAATCAATATGAATCAACAGTTTTTGATTCCAAATCCGAGATCCCCTCTGCTACCCCCACATATTTCGCCCCAAATCAGTATAAATCATGAGGTTGAGAGATGAGAGAAGTGTTGATTCACCGCCATGTCTCGTAGCCGCAGTTTATCACCGGAGGTGACAACTAGGGGCTGCATCGAATGGCCTACATGGTCTCCTCAGGGCTCCCAAATGTCAATCCTCCCCACCAATGAACATCTTGATGCCAAGCTCCTCCATGAGTACATCTCTCCACCTGATCTGCCCAGCCACTCTGTTATTTGTTCCAGTTCACTTGGGACTCATCAATCGACGAAAATAGTCACAACAGGTATTCTTCAATCTCCTAATGTAAACATTTGCATATGATTTGTGAAACATATTGAATTATGTGCTAGGTTAAATGTTAAATCTTGCCAGGTTAAAGTGTTGGTTGTATTGTCCACTTCGAAACTAATAAAAGCTGCAAAGTTTGCTAGGTGGATACTGATTATTTCTATGCTGCCCTCAACCTGAAATGTTTGATATGGTCCTGACAATTTATTGTTGTGGTAGCTATGGCACTTTCATTAGCATTAGGCTGTGTTTAGTTGGATCCAAAGTTTGGATTTTGGTTGAAATTGGAGATGATGTGACTGAAAAGTTGTGTGTGTATGACATGTTGATGTGATGGAAAAGGACTGAAGTTTGGATCCAAATTTTGGATCTAAACACAGCCTTAGTAATAGAGGAATGTAGGCAATTTGTTTGTTTGTAGGCAAGAACAGCAAGTGTTCTAGCTTTATTCATAGAATGAATTCATAATTATATTTTATAAACAGAAACATTAGGTGTGACTTCTGTGCAATTAACAATTATAGTTACATGTGCATTAGTTCTTCCTAATTTGACATATATTCTTCTCCTAGACTGTTTTTCATGATGGTACTACTAGTTTGTTGATTTTAATTGTAATTTGAAATAATTATAGTATCAGCAGTGCTTTACTTAAATGGTGTACATCTCTTGTTTTCACCTCTGCTATAATGCTAGCAATACAAGTTATTTCTATTTACTTAAAATTGAGTTCTGCATCCAGCTAACTCTATACATACTTCAATTGAAGGGTCTGAAGACCATAGCTTCTCCTTGGATTCAGTTGGGTCCAAAGACCATAGCTACTCCTTTGTTTCAGTTGTTGAGGACACTATGGGTGATGCTGTCGAGGACAAGATGTACCAAGTTGTAAATGAAGATGAACCAAAGGAATTACTTAGAGACTCCAAGGTTAATTTGATGGCAAACGTTGTTGAAGACACCATGAAAGAGAAAGAGATTAATGAAGATGACCATATGGGTTGGTACTCCTTAGCTTCAGTTGTTGAGGACACCATGGATCAGCAAGTGGGAGCAGACATCATGGACCAGCAGGTTGTAGAAGACTCCTTGGTAACAGACACCATGGAAGAGAGTGATGAAGATGAATACTTGAAGGCAGAATATGAAAAGGGTGCATTAATCTTCGCTAGAGATGAGGCAAATGCGTTGGAAAGAAAAGAAGCTGAAGCTCGTTATGAAAAATCACTTGAAGAGATTAGAGATGAATTTTTGAAAATTTATGTCCCTTTGTATTTTACTCTAAGAAAAAAGTAAATTCAGTTAGATAGATAATATATAAATTCGATCAGCATCCAGTTCATGGCCAGTTATTTGTTAGCAAAGAATAACTCATGCATCTGTGACTCTGCTATCACTTTAGTATCTTCAATGAAGACTATATATTGTCTTATTGTGGGGTCTGACTTGATTGATCTATGTTCACTGTGTGCATTCTTGTTTCAGTTTATAGTATCATTCTCTGCAGCAGTAAGATAGTACTTTGCTGGACAATATATAGTCTGAAAGTTTCACTTCAACTGGAACTTTAAGTTATGCTAGACACCACAGGGACTGGGACTCTACCAATGATTTGTTTGTTCTATCCCTTTTAAACTTTGTATCCATTGTACAGTGCAATATGATTTGTTCAACAAAGTTGTAAAGTATTCAAGTACAGGTCTAGATGAAGGGTGCTCGATTTGTTCAAGGAAGTTGTACATGATTTAAGTGCAGCCTGTACACTGCTATGTGTATTTCAAGGGTATGCTAATGCTGTAAGCCTGTAAATCTGTAAGCATAACATCGAAATATTTTTGTACATGAGCTATGCTTTACAGCTCAGAAAATGCATCTTACCTTTTTTTTCTGCTCTAAACATGATGTGTTCGATTTTCTGGTCGTCCTTTTATTTCAGTTAGTATATGTATAAAGTAGCAATACAATAAAATAAACATCAAACTAGCTTTTCCCAGTTGGATATTGTGTTGTACCTTAAGTTAGAAAGGTGCTGGTGCTGGGTTTGAGTCCCCTGAACAAAAGTTTTTCTAATGATTTTACTTTCTTTTCCATACGTTTTTTTTTTAAAAAAATACATCTACTATATGTTCCAAAATCATTCTATGTGAACAAGATATTTTTTTATTAATTACAATGTTAACACCAAATTTAGTATAGTTTATGGATTTGTCGCTATCCTGCGTATCTTTGTTCTTGGGTTAAGAGGTTTAGACAACCAATCCAACACTGTCGTCTAGTTATAAAAATGTACTCTTTAGTATAAGGTCATAACCGATCCAACACCATCGGGTGTATATTCGGCATAGTTCATCAAGGCATTAGGTGTTAGAGGATCGACCGTTCAAACTAGTTATCATAGTAGAAGAAAACAACCATTATATTTCTTTCAAAAAAGACAATAAAATATATGCCGTGAAATATATTGTACTAAAATAGTGTATATTGTAAATGAATTTTAAGGTAAAAAAGAACAGAGAAAATGTATTGTCCGATTATGACAAAAATGAGTATAGTTACAAAGTTTACTCCTTCGTACAAGGTCATAACCGATCTAACGCCATCGGGTATATCGGCATAGTTCAAGAAGCCATTAGGTGTTAGAGGATTGACTGTTCCAACAAGATTATTACAATAGAAGAAGACAACCATTATATATAGTGCATAAAACTTTGAATAAACACAATAAAATATATTGTACTAAAATAATATATATTGTAAATGAATTTTGAGTTAAAAAGAACAGAGAAAATGTGTTGTGAGATTATGAAAAAAATGAGTCTAAAAAAATTATTAGTACAATTTCACATCAGGGACATTAAAGAAAATAAGTTGTGGCTTTTTAAAAAAATTTCAGATGAATGGAAAAAATTATGGCGGGTGATTACATACCTTTTTTATTTTTTTTGGCGCTCAAAGGAGGAGTTTTAGGCATATGTCCATGTACATATCTCCTCCTCCATTCATAATAGACCCAATATCTTCTCCCCTCTCACATCCCCTCCCTCACTAGATTGAGAGAACCACGGATGGAGCGCTAATCATTGGTGCCGATCGGCTGATCCTCTACTTCTCCAGCGCGGCACCGTGCCGCGTGGCCTCATCGCGCTACTGATCCGGTGGTTCCCGTCCGAGTGCTTCTTCAATCAAACCCTAGAAAGTTCTACTACAGGTCACTACTTCTCCCTTTGCATTGAAATCATGTCGTTTCTGATCTGGTGCCTGTCCTCTATCCTTAATCAATCCATGATGTTTGGATTCTATCCTTAATCAATCTGTTGCATGTCCGCATTTGTTAGACATTTCTGAATTGTTGTTTTTTGAATCAAACATATTTTATAGCGCTGGGCTGTCACTTTTTTTGTGTATGAATTATTTCATCTATAGTCAACTAAAAACAGAATGCAGTGCAATTAATCATATTGCCAAATAATAATTTATATGATATCTATCTAGTCTTGACATTTTACCTAACAGTGTATTGTAACTCTTCTTTGACATTAATTATATATACAGGGTTATATAAAACTTAATATCAACTAGCAATTAGAGGGGATGGCTCCAAGCAAGGCATGGATGGGCCTTGTGGATGATCGGCTAAATCACGAGTACTTAGAGGGTGTAGAGAAGTTCATAGATTATGCATTCAGTAAATTAGATGGTGTCCAGGTTATACGTTGCCCATGCATCAAGTGCTGCAATACATATTCTTTGCCTCATCACATAGTGTCTTCTCACCTGAAAGCGTATGGAATACTGAGGAGCTACACATTTTGGTACCATCATGGTGAAGTCTTAGCAGAACAAGAGAATGACATAGAAGTTGATGAGTATGATTCACAGGAATTTAATGGGGAAGGATATAATGGAATGCAAGACCTGATGGAAGATTTATTTCCTCAGTGCAACACCCCTGGTGGAGACGAAGCGACACATGAATCTACTGATCAGGGACCTGAAGAGGAGCCAAACACTGATGCGGCCAAGTTCTATGCTTTGCTTGACAAATACAACCAACCACTGTATGAAGGGTCCAGAATCTCTAAATTATCTGCCTTAGTTAATTTGCTTCATGTTAAGAATTTGGGGAAATGGAGTAATAAGTCCTTCACCGCATTGTTGGAATTGCTGCGCAAGGACTTTCTACCTCATGACTCTACACTGCCAAATTCTTATTATGAAGCAAAAAAAACTATTCGTGAACTAGGACTAAGTTACATAAAAATTGATGCTTGCAAGAATGATTGCATGCTGTACTGGAAAGAAGATATAGATGCTGAATCCTGCAAGGTATGTGGATCATCTAGGTGGAAAGAAAAACACACACGGGAAATTAAGCACTCTTCAGCTGGGAAGAAGATTCCACATAAAACTATGCGGTACTTTCCTATAAAACCTAGATTGCAGAGGTTATTTATGTGTAGGAAAACGGCCGCATATGCTAAGTGGCACAAAGAGTGTAGGGTTGATGGTGGAGTTATGCGACATCCTGCTGATTCAAAAGCATGGAAGGAGTTTGATAAAATCCATTCATCATTTGCATCTGAACCTCGGAATGTGAGGCTTTGTCTTGCTAGCGATGGGTTTCAGCCGTTTGCTAACATGCGAACCTCCTATTCCATCTGGCCTGTATTCCTTGTTCCTCTTAATTTGCCTCCTTGGATGTGCATTAAGCAACAAAATGTAATGTTGTCAATGCTACTACCAGGACCTGATGGTCCTGGGGATGCAATCGATGTTTATCTGCAACCATTGATAGAGGAACTGATAGAACTTTGGGAAGATGGAGTTGACACATATGATTCATCAACCAAGACAAATTTCAAGCTACGTGCAGCTCTTCTTTGGACAGTGCATGACTTCCCTGCTTATGGAAATATATCAGGCCATAGCACAAAGGGAAAGTTGGCATGTCCAGTTTGTCATAAAGAAACAAATTCAATGTGGCTTAAGAAAGGTCAGAAGTTTTGCTACATGGGTCATCGGTGCTTTCTTCGCAGAAGCCACAGATGGAGAAATGACAGAACTTCTTTTGATGGTACAAAAGAGAGCCGAGGACCACCAATGGAGTTATCCGGAGATGATGTGCTCAAGCAAGTGCAGGATTTACAGGGAATTATATTGTCAAAGGATATGAGTAAGAAGACAAAAGTATCACGCAGTGATAGGGGAGATAACTGGAAGAAAAGGAGCATTTTTTTTGAGTTACCATATTTTAAAACTCTATTGCTACGTCATAATCTTGATGTGATGCATATAGAAAAAAATATATGTGATAGCATTATTGGAACACTAATGAATGTCAAAGGGAAGACCAAGGACAATATTAATACCCGTAGTGACTTAAAACTCATGAACCTGAGGCCAGACTTGCATCCAGTAGATGATGGAGGAAAGGTGGTTTTGCCACCTGCGCCTTACACGTTATCTCCAGATCAAAAAAAAGCACTGCTTAGTTTTTTTAAAGAATTGAAAGTTCCTGATGGATTTTCTTCAAATATAAGTCGTTGCGTTAATATGAAAGAGCGGAAAATGTCAGGATTGAAGAGCCACGACTGTCATGTTATTTTAAATCATATACTCCCTCTTGCTCTGCGTGGACTGCTCCCTGAAAATATTTATGAACCACTTGTGGAGCTATCCCAGTTCTTTAAGAAATTAAATTCGAAGGCATTGTCAGTTGAACAGCTTGAAGAAATGGATGCTCAAATACCAGTAATTCTTTGTAAGCTTGAAAAGGAATTTCCACCATCCTTCTTTGATGTCATGATGCATTTGCCTGTTCATTTGGCTAGAGAAGCTCTAATTGGTGGACCAACCATGTATCGATGGATGTATTTATTTGAGAGACAAATTCACTACCTAAAATCACTAGTTCGGAATATGGCTCGCCCAGAGGGTTCAATTGCTGAGGGATACATTGCAGATGAGTTTATGACATTAAGCTCTAGGTACTTGGATGATGTCGAGACAAAACACAATCGTCCAGGAAGAATACATGACACATCTATTGGTAACAAATTTAATTTATCAATCTTCTCCTGTGCTGGAAGGCCCATTGGTTCTCGTAAAACTCGAGATCTTGATATGCTTGAATCAGAACAAGCTCATATTTATATTCTGCGGAATTGCGATGAAGTCCAAGCATATATCAGGTATCCCTTGATAAAAATGGCATTTATTTATGTCATGTTTCTTACGATTCATTTCACAAGCTTATGTAATTTCTAATTTAAAATGTTGCAGTGAGTACTGCAACAGTACAGAGGGTTCTTCAATGGTACAATTTACCTCAACATGGAACAAAAAATTCATCAACTGGTTTAAAGAGAAGG